AAGTTTAAAAATGTAAGTTTTTAAGAGGGAAATTTAAACTTATGAAACATGAATAGTGTCAAAAAGCTGAAGCTCTTACAAGCTAACCCAAACATGCCCATAGTCTTGTATCAGTTTCTTTAGTGCAAAAAATTTCTTCCCAATTAAAAAAAGAAAAATTCCAGAAAAATGGAAGCAGGATCATAACCTATCTGGAATGCCTGCTACTTGTTCCTGGAGTGTCACTAGACTCCTCTAAATGAAAAAAAAAAAAGAAAAAAAGAAAAAAAAAAAGGAAACAAATTGTCTCTGCTAGAATTGCTCAGCCATGGAAGTAGAGAAGCATGTTATCTCTTTAGATTAAACTGAATGCTTAGAATTTGTAAAACCTCTTGGTTTTCAAGACACTATGTTTAAATTCTTAATATATTCTTATTGAAGGATGTTAACATCAAATGGAAACAAAGGGAATAAAAAGAATTTTAAAAAATCAAATAAAAAAATCTAAATAAAAGCAACCTGATGGTCTGGATTCTGGAATACATAACTCTTGGGCCTCTTTACAAGTACAGTTCCATTTGTTGGGTTCCAAAGACCTGCCAATATCTGCATATTCACAACATAGCAACTGACAATTATTCAATCTCTGCAATCAAAGCTTAAAAAAAAAAAAAATCCAAATGTTAATCAGGCAGTTGATCTAATAAAATTCAGATTGTCTTGTTGTATACGATGAACATTTTCACTACACCATAAACACAACACAAGCTAAAACTGAAACCGCTTAAATAAGAAAACTGAAAACACAATAGAAAAATTGAATGTACCTTTAAAAGGGTAGATTTCCCACACCCATTAGGTCCAAGAAGCATCCACAACTGCCCCGAAGGAATCCGAAGGGAACAATCCTTGAGAATTGGAACCAATTTCCCTTGCCTTGTAGTGATCGAGAAGTCAAGATTATGACCCTCGATAGCAATATTCTCAGAAAAATTCGGCCTGCATTGGCATAGGAATCGTTTATAACCATCAAACCAGCAATTGCCAAAACAACCGCACGAAGAAAATATGCAAAGCTAAGAGAAACAACAAAGCTGTTTGATGAAATGCCTAGCAGAAGACAACCACTATATAGCAGTACACTGAGAGAAAGATATGGGTCTGAACCTGGTAGGACGAGCAACATGAAGCGGCGCTAGATAGGGTGAAGACGCTCGACCAGGAGCGCATAAATTCATGGTTTAACGGCGAAAGGAGCGGATTTTTGTTTTTGGGCTTTGGGGCTCAGGCGGTAACGAGAAACTTCTGTATCGGTATCA